TGTGGTTGTGCCTGGAGTAAAGTCCAGCCCCATCGTGTCCCTCCCTCCTCCCTGGAGTTTTGGGGCAAAAAGTGCTCGAAACTGTCAACGGAAGCAGTTCCCCTGAGTTCCCCTGCAGCAGGAAAGGTCTTGGTGCATCTTTGGTGGCATCAGAAGGTCCCTTCATCCCCCCCCACCCCCCCCCTGAGCAGCCTCCTTGGAAACTTTGGGCTTGTTTGTGGAGTCCTGGTTGGGTTTTTGGTTTTAGGGGGGGGTGGGAAGAATGAAACCCATAGTGGTTTAACCATTTTGGTTAAAAGTGGTAAATGGTGCAGCGAGGAGGGGCAGGAGGTTGTTATTTCCAAGTGTGCAGTTTTTTTTGGAAAGAGTTGCCTCGTGAAGGTCCTTTCTAACGAGCGGTGAGTTCCACGGGAGATCAGATAATTGCAAATTAATTGGCTGCTCCTTGTTCTCCCCTCAGTACGTGACCTCTTATCGATTATCTCGTCGGTTTGAGTGGCTTTGACACGAGGAAATTATTTAATTGGGGTTAATTAACCTGCAGGACTGGCTGCTGGAATCATCTGGAGCCAGAAGGTTGAGGGGTCGGGGGGAAAAAATGGGGTGTTTTTCTAGAATCTTGAATCTGGGCAATGAAATGATTGACTTTAGAAACAAGGAGTTGACTCCTGGACAAGGGTGACTTCTACCCTGGGCTGTGGTGACACTGGAGGAAGGTGGAAAAGTCTCCATCAGTGAAGTTTGGGGTTAGATGACAAGTTTTCTGTGTGGAATATTGAAGCGCGCCGAGTGAAACTTGTTGTTTTTCACAAAAAAAGCCCCCAAATGGGTGGGTGTCAGTGATTGAAGACCACAAGTGTAGTCTAAATTGAAACCCAAGTCTCCAGGCTGTGGTTGAGGTGGGTGATGGTGGTTGAGTTGAGGAGTGACTGGTTGTCCTGTCCCAAGGTGACCGAGTTGGTGCTCGATAACTGCCGCTCCAGCAACGGCGAGATCGAAGGGTTGAATGATTCCTTCAAGGAGCTGGAGTTCCTCAGCATGGCCAACGTTGAGTTGTCATCACTGGCCAAGCTCCCCACGTTGAGCAAGCTCCGAAAGGTACGTGTCCCTCACAGGAGTCTTGGAAATGGGGGGGGACACAACCCGTGGTTGCGCCTTTCAGCACGCGCCGTTGAGGTTGGGTGGTGCTTCATGAGGTGTAACCATGTCCTGTCCAACCTGTGGTGTTTGCTTGTTTGTTTTAAATCTGCAAATGTTCTGGGTATTTCCAGTTGATGATGGAGCTTGGTCAACTTAGGACAGTCAGTGCTGGTCTGTTGAGCAGGTGAAGGTTGGTTGTGCCTTGTTGGAGGTGGACAAGAGGCCGTTGGGTTGCCCATCTTTGGCAGAATAAAGGCTGGCAAAGAACCCCAGTGTTGCACATCCTGCTAAAAACTGGGAGTTTTGAGGAACACTCTGGAATTCTCAGAGTGATCTTGGAGGAACTTCTTGTCAGCCAAAGCAACAACTCAGTGAAGTGCTTGTTTGAGTCATGGGACTCTTCACAAATGTCCACCTTGGTGGTTAAAACTCTTCAGGTCAAGGGGCAACTCGATCTGCTGGCAACAATCCAACCATTTAGATGGAGATTTTTTTTTTTTATTTTGATGACTGGAATGGTTCAAAATGACTGAATTTCTTTTTTTTTTTTTTTTCCCCCCTGCCTCACAGTTGGAGTTGAGTGACAACATCATTTCTGGAGGCTTGGAGGTCCTTGCAGAAAGATGTCCAAATCTCACATATCTAAACCTAAGTGGCAACAAAATCAAAGATCTTGGCACTGTGGAAGCTCTTGTAAGTACAAAGAGAGGAAAAATATGTCTTAATAAATACTGGTTTTTATCAAGATCAATTCTTTTTTTGTGGTGGAAAGGTCCAAACTGATCTCTGGGGGCTGCAAATGAGCAGGTTGTTCAATCAAGGAGGATTCTTACCTGTTTCATGTGATTTATTTCTGCTTCTTGCTCAGGTGAAGTGTTTGGGGTTGGTGGGGATCCCAGTTGGTCCTACCATGGTTGTTAGAGCCAACTTGTAAACGTCCTGCTGTGAAACTCCCTTCAGTGGGGATGTAGGGAATGAGAGGTTTTGGAACTTCTGGTTGGTCTTTGGAAGAGAAGTAGTCAAGTTCTGCCTTGCTGATCTTCTTGTCTTTGGTTTGTGAAGGAACAGTTTGGTAAATAACTGCCCTGAGCTTTGGTGGAGCTGAGCAGTGGTGAGGGTGTCAGGCAGGAGCAGAGATGGGAAGCACGAGGTTGGAGGAGGTTGGAGGAGGTTGGAGGAGGTTGGAGGAGGTTGGAGGAGGGTGGAGGGGGACGGAGGAGGTTGGAGGAGGTTGGAGGAGGTTGGAGGAGGTTGGAGGAGGTTGGAGGAGGTTGGAGGAGGTTGGAGGAGGTTGGAGGAGGTTGGAGGAGGTTGGAGGAGGTTGGAGGAGGTTGGAGGAGGTTGGAGGAGGTTGGAGCTGCCCGACCTGTCACTATCTGACCTCTGCACCCAATTCTTTAGCTGATAACTTACATTTCAGGGGTTTGATACAGACCCTGTTAAGTTTTAAAACTGCCCATAAAGGTTCTTCATCTGCTCTCCTGGTGCTTGGACCCAGCAGGGGAGCAGTAGAGCACGTGAAGCACTTTTTATTTTACCCAAGTCAATCCCTTTTTAGTAGATCTTAGACTCTTTCCAGGCCACACAGGTGGGTCCTTCTGGGGTGCAGAAAAGTAGCATCAGTTTTCTAGTCTTGTTCAGAGAAACCTCCTGCTGAGATGGTAAATTCTGATGAGGTGCCTGTAATTAGTGGAACTGTTTGGGGAAGGGCTGCTGGAGTTGGGAAGGTTTTGGTCAGGATTGCTTGGACAAGAAGGGAGGAGGAAGAGGGAGAGGATGAAGGGGGAGAGGAGAACCCAACCCAACCTGTGCCCAGAGCTCTGGTGCTTCCAGGGTGTTGAGCTCCACAAACACCCCAAGGGGCTGATCTGCAAGAGCAGAAATAAAGACCTGAGAATTCTGGAAGGGATCTGCCTGCTGCAAACAACTTTTTTTGAAGTGAATTTTGTGTTTAATGGGGAGAAAAGGATAGAAAAGAAGGGGTGGGGACAAAATGCCTCCTGCAGCTGGTGGCGGGGGGAGTTGTGAGCTGTGCTGGGGCTGTGAAGTGCCAGGGAGGCAACAAAACCCACCCTTTTCATTTATTTTCAGCAAAATCTCAAAAACCTGAAGAGCCTTGACCTGTTCAACTGTGAGATCACGAACCTGGAGGATTACAGGGACAGCATTTTTGAGCTGCTCCAGCAAATCACATACCTGGATGGGTTTGATCAGGAAGATAACGAGGCACCAGACTCAGAGGAGGATGATGATGAGGGTAACTTCCTGAAATCACCTGTGGCTGAAATGGAGCCTGGGGTGCAGTGACAATTCTGTGCTTGTGGTTTTTGAACTTGGTTGGTGTTAACAGGAGAAAAGCTCCTGTCAAGAGGTTTTGAGCCTTCTGAGTTTAAGGAAATTTGACTAAAGATAGAAATAGTCTCAAAATAAGTTGTTTGGAAGCCTGGGTTTAAAAAAAAACCACAAACATAAAAAGCTAAATAATCTGGACTTGGAAAGTGAAAATAAAGGCAATTTGAAAATAGATAATAAGTTACTAAGTTGATAATGAATTAAAGTCTTAAATCACCTTCTCATTTTCTTGTAACTGAGGCTGGGAAAGTGCTGAGATGTTCCAGACACTGAGATGAAAAGAGAGATCATCTTGTAGGTGTTTCAGAGTCACAGGGATGAAATAACAGAGTGATGAGAAAGGTTTTGCCTTCGAATATTGGAGGGTTTGATTCCCCAGGGAATCCTTCTCTTCCCCCTGGGGAATTGTCAGGAGTTTGCACACGAAGCCAGTTCAGGCCTGAAGCTTGTGATGGGAAACCACTGGTAGCCTTTCTTCAGGGAAAAGATAAGCCCTGATAAAGATGAACTTCATTAAAATCATGTTTCTTTCCCACATTTAAACAATAAATTTTAAAAAACCCCCAAATACTTGTAGAAAAGAAAGTGTTATGACCTCCTTGACCTGGTGTCTCTGAGCTTGTATAAAGAGGAGTTAATTAAAGTTGATATTAATAAATATAATTTTCTCCTTCATTTCAGAAGGAGATGAAGAGGATGATGATGAAGATGAGGATGAAGCTGGTCCTCCAGGAGAGTATGAAGAGGAAGATGATGAAGATGATGGTGGTTCAGATTTAGGGGAAGGAGAAGAGGAAGAGGAAGTTGGTCTTTCCTACCTGATGAAAGAAGAGATTCAGGTAAAGTTTCTAAATTCTGCTAAATCCAAGCCAAGATTGAAAACTGCCTTCAGATTTGTGTTCATTTCAGCATCTAAGTACAGCCTGGAGAGGAGAAGGCTCCAGGGAGACCTGAGAGCAGCTTCCAGGGCCTGAAGGGGCTCCAGGAAAGCTGGGGAGGGACTTGGGCCAAGGGCAGGGAGGGATGGGATGAGGGGGAGGGCTGAAAAGTGGGAGAGGGAGCTGGAGGTTGGAGCTGAGGAGGGAATTGTGGAGTGTGAGGGTGGGGAGAGCCTGGGCCAGGTTGGCCAGGGAAGCTGTGGCTGCCCCATCCCTGGGGGGGTTGAAGGGCAGGTTGGATGGGGCTTGGAGCAGCCTGGGCTGCTGGGAGGTGTCCCTGCCCATGGGGGGGGTTGGACCAAGAGCTGTGGAAAATTGTCCATGTTCTTGAGTGTGCTAAGAGGGTTTGGATCTGAATGATCATCCCTTCCAACCCAAATCATTCCATGATTCTAGATCAGGAGAGAAAATAAACATATTTTACAAGGTTACAAAGAGGTTCTTGTAGGTCCTGCT